CCATCAACTGGAAACTGGATAAAGAAAATGTGGTTTGTTTATAAAATGGAGTACTACTCAGCCATAAAGAATGAAAAACTAGAGTCATTTATAGCTAAATGGATGCATATCAAGGCTATACTCTTAAGTGAAATAAATAGGACACACATGTAAATACCGAATAGTTTCACTAGTGTGAGAAATTGATAGTATAAACAAGAGTTAAAATGATTAAAATGAACAATTGATAATTTGAAATAGGAAAAGAGGTCCAAAGATGAAGGAGTGAAGGGAGGGGAAGAGGAAAGGAAAAGAGGGAAAGGAAAAACTATGAGAAAAGAAAAAAAAATGGAAATGATATCTATGTAAATAGGGAAGGGTGGATGGGGTGAAGGGCACACAGGTAATGGCGAAAAAAATAAGAACCAATATATATCATGTACAGGTACAAACACCCAATGTTAAATGTAAACGAATTAAATACACAAAATGTACCAATAAAAGAAGTAAAAAAAAAATGTAAATGTAAATCATACCTCTTATATTATCAATATTTCATACAAATCTAAAACCATTGTAATCTAAAACCTGCCATTGTGCTAGATTTGTTTATAATTCTTTTATATGATGCTTAAATATTTGGACCATTGAATGATAACTCAGGTATATGCTGTACCATCTAACAATACTCTGTACATGTATTTGTTTTAAACCTTCTATAACTTGAATAGCCTTTGGTATTCATGGAAATCTTCTGGGTTTATGCCTACAACTACTCTAGGGGCGGAACTGATTTCCAGGAGCCAGTAATAAGGAGAAGCACATGGAAAGCCCCATGGGGATACATTGGTTCTAAGGCTTTTCTAACATGGAACATAACTGAGGCCTCCCTAGTCCTCTTTATTCCACTCACAAATACACAGACTTTGGGATTTTGAAGTTTAACTTTGATTAATTTTATTGGAAACTGGGCACAGGATAGTACCAAGATAGTTTAGTACTCTTAAAATCATTTCATATTGTCAATCAGGGTGTTCACCATATGTCATCTTGTAAGCATTTCTGAAAAGGAGACAGCCAGAATTTGGTTGTCTTGGCAACCTCAGCTGATTATGAAACAAATTTCCATACCAGAAGGAAGACAAATAAAAGATAAAAATAACACACTTACAGGGCCAGGGATTTAGCTAAGTGGTTCTGCTGCCTGCCTCGCAAGCACAAGGACTCGAGTTCGATCCCCAGTATCAAAAGAAACAAACAAACAGACAAAAAATCCCCACACTTATCATCAAAGGCAATTTAGATCCAAAGGGGCATCTCAAGATCTTTGGTTCCATGGTATCTCTTCTACTTCCTGAAGAGGAGTGATTTATTACCTCAGGATTGCAAAGATACAGCCAGGCATAAAAGTGAAGTTTGTTATTTACAACTTGGTGGTTCTTACCATTCTTGCCATTTATGACTCGGTGGTTGTTACCATTCCTAGACCTTTTTATTATGCTAGGGAACTATAAAGTCATCGTTCATTAAATACACACCAAGAATGCTAATCTTCAAAATATCATCACCTTTCTAGGTAAATGCCAATTTTTAAAGAATTATTTCAAAACTGTGCACAATATTCTCCTTGGAAGGCAGATAGTCACATTTGAATTTATAATAAGTCATCTGCTTTAATGTTTTATATGAGTTGTGTTTTTCTTAAATGATTTTTATAAGATTTATTTGGAAGTTACATTTTCTGATGAAGACAACTCAACATAGATCATTAATAGGTAATATTTTCTATTAGTGTAATTTGGAAATGACAAGGCACTATAACTAATTTAGTGTTTCTTTTTATTTCCTTAAAGACAAGGCTATTGCCTTTATATGTCTCTTTGACTATAAACAATTAATAGACTTTAAATTAGTAGTTATGTCTCCCAAGGAAATGCACTCCCTGATTTTCAAGAAAGACACCAGGAGCAGTAGTTCTAAGAAGATTTTATGAATTAGATCATAAAATTAGTTCTTAAAGGAATGCAAGTACCTCAGTAAATCATCCGTGCTTTCACATTCTAAGGTGGTTTTAGCCTATCAGCTCTTCAAGTTTATACATCCTGTACATTAAATTGACTTGTTCATTCCCTAAAATTCCCTACTGTTTAATAGTCTTCAAAAGATTTTCACTCCAACCAGGAAGTTCAAACCTGTTAATCTGACATTCAAGTTCCCTCACTAACTGAGTCCAATTGATCTAATCAACTTTGTCTTCAATTCTAGGTACTCAGGTTTTTCTATGAAGAACTCTGTGGCAAAGGAGGAATCCACATCCTGGTGAGTTCAGGGAGAGAAAGGGAAACAATTAAAATAAAAAAGCTGTTGTTATTACTATCATTAAGTATTATTTTTATGTCCTAAATTTTATATGTAATATCTTAATTTTTAACCACTATGATTTATTTATGACAAAAATCCATTTGTATCATATTAAGAATGTTGAAGACTTGAGTATTTTCCTGAATGAGCATGAATGTGTGAAGTGCATAAATGGAATGCTAATTAGTCCATCGCTAAACTCCCAGAAAGGTAAACTTAATTAAAATTATGGATATCTAAGGAAATGAGATTGGTTGATATTGATGTAGCTTTTCTTATACAATATTAAAAGGAGATGCTGAAGGAGAATTTTAGTTAATTGTCCTTCTCAAAAGTACATATGACTTCAATAATATAGTTATCAAAACTGTACCTTAATTCAACAATATTTGCTAAGTCTCTACTACTAACTGAATACTATGTTTGATGATGACTGTAAGCTATAAAAAAGACATACATTATCGTTGCCCTAATATCAAATCTTGTATGTTTAATGGATGCTAATTCAAGAGTGGCAGAACAGAACATACGGATATCATGCGCCTAAAAATCATACCTTAAGATTACTAGTCTTTCTTTGCTAACCTTTCACTTTATCAAGGCTCCACTATCCAGTATTTTGTTGAAATTGTTCAGATCTTTATAAATGCAAAGAATTATCCAAAGTATGTATCAACACAATTTGAAAAAGACCTTATATCTGCATAAATGTCATCAGAACTGATTGTTTCTAAGATGGAATTACAGGGACTGGATTTTCATATCATCTGAAACAACAAAAATACTTTAAAACACTGGCTTCAAAACCTTTGAGCATCATACAGTGATGGGCATTTGTCATTGATAGATGAGGAGAAAATGAGGGTAGCTTGAGAAAGTTGTGAGGCTGTGGAGAGGCCCAGGACTCTGAGTTAGGAGACAGCTGACAGTCCAGGGAGAGCGAGGTCTGGACTCACCAAAGTACTGCCCACCAGGCACCATCACCCCTCCACAGAATACAAAAGGTAACTGTGTGGCAAATTACATGGGATCCACAACTGTGCTCTTTCTCACTAGCCATACTGGTGGGAAATTCCTTTAGTTTTTCTTCAATTTTTCTTCTAAATTTAAGAATAATTTCAAGTTGAATACATTTTATTAAATAATATAATGTAGGCTATGAAGCAATGTTTGTCTATTTCTGCATACAAATGTTTTCATTCTACATCTGTTCATAGTGATATATCTAGAGATGTGTGTGTGTGCTTGTAATTAATAGCTGTCTTTCAAAACACCAACAAAGCTGATCAGCAAAGCCTGCTTCCACTCTACAGTATATAAACTCACATAAGGACTGACTCCAATCTATCAACATAATGTCTCTGAATCCAGAGCCAGAAAGACACATACAGTCTGTTCCCCCAAGCCAGCACAAGCTACTCTGTCTCCACCACAAATATATGTTTCTTTACATATGTTTGAAGCATGTTTTATACATTAGTCTATTTCTAATATTTTATACTTAAGTGGGAAAATCATTCTAGTTGATAAAAGTTCTTTTCTACATTTTCCCTCTAATGAGGATTTTCATTCTTTTTCATTTTTCTCTTCAATAATTTTTTTTTTGGTTCTGGGGATTGAACTCAGGACCTTGCACTGGCAAGGCAGGCATGGTGCCACTGAGCCAAATCCCCAGCCCTAATAGTTTTTTTTTAAAAAAAAAAACAATAATCGGCTGGCTAAAAGACAGAGGGGCACATGGCAGAGGGGGAGAGCCACACAGATGCCAGCAGCACACCCACCCACCACCCTGTGAAATGAGAAGACACATAAACAAGTCTCAAAACAAGACTTCCAGATCACCTAAAGCAATCACAAAGGGAAACAACATAGAACAATCTCATACCCAACCACCTGGACTTCCCAAACTGGCAACAAAAGAGAATCTGGAAAAAAATCAAATCAGAAATAATTTCTCAGATAACAGCAGAGATTGTGTGCAGAGCACAAGACATGATTAATAAATCTAGAGAGGACACAGGTAAAAAAATAGAATAACTGAGAAACATGATGGAATGCCAACATAGGAAACAAATGGAATCCATAAAACAGACACAAACAGATTTCCAGGAGATTGAAAACTCCATTGAAAGTGTATGCAGCGGAATGAGCCAATGTGAGGATAGAATTTCAGATATAGAAGATAAGATTGCAAGTACTGACCAGGAAAAGAAAATAGTAAGGGACTACGAGAAATCAGTCCAGCAGCTGCTAGACGATGCAAGGAAGAATAACAAGACTGATCAGAGTCAATGAAGAAACAGGAGAGAGTACAGATGACAAAAAAGAATTGTTCACAGAAGTGATGGCAGAAAACTTCCCAAGCAGGGGAAAAGAATTTGTCATACAGATAAGTTAGGAATATAGGACTCTAACTAGCCTTGATCAAAAAAAATCTACACATAGGCATATATTAGTTAAACCAGAACCCCAACAGAAGAACAAAATTTTACAAGCAGTTAGAGAAAAGAAACAATTCACATAGAAAGGAAAGCCCATCAGAATCACAGCAGACTTCTCAATGGAAACCCACAAGGCAAGAAGAGCTTGGAGTGACATATTTCAAGCCCTAAAGTTAAACAGCCTTCAACCAAGAATGATGTACCCTGCAAAACAATCTTGCAAAATTGATGGAGAAATCAGATATTTTCATGACAAACAGCACTTTAGGAACTTCATGAACACCAAATGAGCCCTCCAAAAAATTTGAAACAATATCCTAGGAAAAGACAATGAGGATCATAACCCCAAGAAGCCCAGCAGAATGAATCCATTAGGCATGAAAAGAAGTTAAAAACAAAGGGGAAGAATCCAACAAAAAGAAAAAGTCATGACAATGATAAGTCAATATTTATCAATTATAACCATCAAAGTTAATGCTCTCAATTCACCAATCAAAAGAAATAGACTGGCAGAATGGGTCGAGAAGCAAGATCCAACAACATGCTGCATACAAGAAACACACTTAATTCAAAATAAACTCATAGATTGAAAGTTAAAGGGTGGAAAACAATACTCCATGTAGCAGGAACCTGGAAAAAAACAGGAGTAGCTACTCACTTTGAAGATCAAGTGAATTTCAAACCAACACTGATTAAGTGAGACAAAGAAGGACAGTACATCCTTGTAAAGGGAAAAATCTAACAGGAAGAGAAGACAATCATAAATATATAAGCACCAAACACTAGTGTGCTTAACAATATAAAACAGATACTAACAGACATGAAAAATCAAATAAGCACATAGTAGTGGGGGCCCTTAATACCACATTGTCACAAATAGATAGATCAGCTCGACAAAAAAAAGCAACAAAATACTACAATACAATGAAACTCTTTAAAAAATGAACTGAACAGGTACTTACAGAGTGTTCAAGCCCACAAAATCAGAATACACATTTTTTTCAGCTAAACATGGGTCATTCTCCAAAATAGACCACATACTCACTCATAGAACATGTTTAAGTAAGTGAAAAAGAATGGAAGTTATCCCCTATATATTGTCAGACCATAGTGCGATGAAATTGGAGATCCATAGCAAAAGAAACTCAAAAAATTTCATTAACACGTGGAAATTGAACAACACACTTCTGAATAACCAATGGGTCACAGAGGAAATTAAAGAAGAAA